TTTCCAAAATGATCATATTTTACTTAATTTGTTTTATGACAATTCGTATTATCATCCTAGATCTATCCTAGAATCATTTTGTAGATATAATAAGAAAAGAATCCATCTTTATATATTTAGTATTTTCTAAAAGTCTACCTATTTCATTACTATATTTTATTGTCTAACCATTGATAGAATAGATCCCAAATTTTATAAAATTGTTTATCATCTTGTTCTCTAATTTCAAATGTCACTCATTTCAGCACATTCCAATATTTTCTTAATGATTTCCTCCTGTGATGGTATTTTCTCATTTTTCCAGTTTTTAGCAAATACAATCCTAGCCGCTGTTAATACATTTACAATCAGGTATTTCAAGTCTTTACAGGTAAAATTCCCAATAAAAATATCTCTAGTTTCAAATCTATGTGCATTTTTGTCATTTTTTCCAACCACGTGTGTATTTTTGTCCAGTTTTTTTTAGCATCCGCACAAGTCCACCACATATGGTAATATGAGCCAGGTATCTGATGACATTTCCAACATTTTTCGGATTTATTCTTGAACATTATTGCTATTCTTGTCGGGGGAAAGTGCCACCTGTAAAACATCTTATACAAATTTTCTTTATATGCTGTTGACATTGTCATTTTATAATTTTGAGACCACAATTTTTGCCATTTCTCTAGATCAATCCCATATCCAAAATTCTTCCCCCAAGCAATCATAGTTTCTTTAACTTGTTCTTCTTCTAGTTTAATTTCTAATAAATATCCATACAATTTTTTAATCACCTTTTCATCAGTACCTGTCAAAATCTTATCTAAATCAGTCAGTTTATCATAGAAACCTTCTGTTTTAGAATCTTTATCATACCTTGAATGTATTTGCGCATATGAAAACCAATTCATCTTTATACCTTGTTCCTCTAGTTTTTGTATAAATTTAACTTCACCCTTTTCATTCAATATTTCACCATATCTAACTGTTTGCTCCTTTTTGTATATTTTAAGATAAGAAAATGCTTCAATAGTCGATAGCCAGACTGGAATTTTCAAATAACATTGTCTTTTAATCTTCTCCCAATTTAACCACAGAGACTCCCGTATATAATGTCTTCTAAAGTACCCCTGTGTTTTAGTTCCTTTATACCAGGGGTTCCCAACCTGGGGTGCGAGATGATATTCCAGGGGGTGCGAGAAAAGTCCAGGTAAATAATAGGATATTGGCTATATGTTGGCATTTTTATTTATTATTTATTTCAGGGGGTGCGAGGTTCGAGTGAAATTTCTTTAGGAGTGCAGGGCGAAAAAAAGGTTGGGAACCACTGCTTTATACCATAAAAAAGCATGCCAAGAAAAAGTGACCCTGCAGATGATTATGCAAGGAATTCAAAATATTCAAACAAGATCAGAGAATATTGAAAAGAGAATAGAGAACATTGAACAAAGAACAGAGAACATTGAACAAAGAACAGGGAAAACCGATGAAAAAGTGGAGAACATCCAACAAATGATGATGAAGTATGATGAGAGACTCCAAAAAATTGAAGAAGAAGATTAACAAAGAGACAAGAAGATTGGAGACATTGATAACAGATTAACTGTGGCTGAACAAGATAAAAGTGGTATGCTGAGATGGGAGATGGTCAGATCAGAATTTTATTTTAGATTCCAAAACATAGAGGAAGAAAAAGGACAAAATCTAGCTGAGATAATGATAGAAATATTGGCTGAAGCTTTGGAAATAACTGAAGAGAAGATGATGGATGGAATAGATGAGGTTTATCGAGTCTTTACAAGATATGCGTTGAGAAATAGCTTACCAAGAGAAGTTCACATCAGATTTACAAAGAAAGCCATTAAAACGCAAATATTGCAACTGGCAAGAGAGAAAACATTGAAATACAAAGATAAGGAGATTGTGGTCTTGAAACAAGTACCCAGAAGAGTGAGAGAGATGAGAAGAGAATACCGATTCTTGACCAAATTGTTACTTAAAAAAGAGGTGAATTATAGATGGCTGATTCCAGAAGGTTTAATGTTTACATGGCAAGAACAGAGATATAGAATTGACTCAATTGAGAAAGCTGAATCATTTTACACAGAATTTTTCAGAGTGGAGGAAGAGGCAGAAAAAGAAATTTTACTAATTGAATTCCAAGAGGATTCCCAAATGACGACTGAAAAAGAAGAAGGTGCAGTAGGTGTAAAGGAGGAAGCCAAAGAACAATGTGAACCAAGATCCACGAGAGCTGTCAAACCTAACTACAAAGCATAATCATGGAAGAGAAAAAACTGATTACAATGAATATAAATGGACTTAATTCGGCTGCTAAAAGAAGGAAAATTTTTCATAAATTAGAGATATTAAAATTTGATATAATCTGCCTAGAAGAAGTACATATTAAAAAACAATATGAACAATCGTTGATACAGCCAAAATTAGGGAAAATATTCACTTCCTTGACACAATGTAAGAAAAGAGGAGTGGTTTTATATATTAAAGAGACCATCTCAGCGAAATTGATTTATACTGATGACGACAGAATAATATTAATGGTGGAAATAATGGACAATAATACAAAAACACTCCTGATTGCAATCTATGCCCCAAATGACAAACAAGAAGAATTCTATAAAAAATTAAATATGAAAATAGTTGAACTGGACTATGTTAATATAGTTATGATGGGAGATTTTAATGGAATTGTAGACAATAAACTGGACTACACAGCACAGAAAACAATAAAGCAAAATAGAAAGACTCTCCCTAAATCTTTTTTTAAAATGGTAGATGAAATAAACTTAAAAGATACATGGAGAGAAAGAAATGCTAAAACTAAACAATACACCTTCTACTCAAATAAAAGTACCTCTTATCCATGGATCATTTTTGTACAAACATATGGGATATTATGCAAGCATATGGCAAATAGAACTCTTTTCTAATAATATTTTTATTATTCCCTTTGTGGTTTAGGTGGGATTATCTTAGACTTCTCTCATCAGGGTTATTGCTTTAATACCAATTTAATTATGCAGACAGGCTAAACAACCCAATTTAAGGAAAGAATTCTTCTTAAAACAGTGCAAAAGTCTTGTGCTCTGGAGGATTTTGTTATGTCTTAGGTTTGGGGCTATAGAATGTCTTAGGTTTGGGGCTATAGAATAGAATAGAATAACAGAGTTGGAAGGGACCTTGGAGGTCTTTTAGTCCAACCCCTGTCTAGGCAGGAATCCCTACACCACTTCAGACAAAGGCAATCCAGCATCTTTTTAAAAACTTCCGGTGTTGGAGCATTCACAACTTCTGGAGGCAAGTTGTTCCACTAATTAATTGTCCAAACTGTCAGGAAATTTCTTCTTAGTTCTAGGTTGCTTCGCTCCTTGATTAGTTTCCACCCATTGCTTCTTGTCTTGCCTTCAGGTGCTTGGAGAATAGCTTGACTCCCTCTTCTTTGTGGCAGCCTCTGAGATATTGGAACACTGCTATCATGTCTCCCCAGTCCTTCTTTTCATTAGACTAGACATATCCAGTTCCTGCAACTGTTTTTCATGTTTTAGCTTCCAGTCCCCTAATCATCTTTGTTCCTCTTCTCTTACTCTTTCTAGAGTCTCAACACCTTTTTACATTGTGGTGACCAAAACTGCATGCAGTATTCCAAGTTTGGCCTTACCAAGGCATTACAAAGTGGTATTAACACTTCATGTGATCTTGATCCTATCCCTCTGTTTATGCAGCCTAGAATTGTGTTGGCTTTTTTGGCAGCTGCTGCACACTGCTTGCTCATATTTAAATGGTTGTCCACTAGGACTCTGAGATCCCTGTCACAGTTACTACTGTTGAGCAAGGTACCACATATACTGTACCTGTGCATTTGATTTTTCTTGCCAAAATGTAGAACCTTACTTTTTCACAATTGAATTCCATTTTGTTAGATAGTGCCCAATGTTCAAGCCTGTCAAGATTCTTCTGTATCTTAAGCCTATCTTCTGGAGTGTTGGCTATTCCTGCCAGCTTGGTGTCGTCTGCAAATTTGATGAGTTCCCCTTCTATCCCCTTGTCCAAGTCATTGATGAAGCTGTTGAAGAGTACTGGGCCTAAATCAGAGCCTTGGGGTACTCTACTGCATATTTCCCTCCATGTAGATGCAGTTCATTGGGGACTACATGTTGAGTGTGGTTGGTCAGCCGGTTACAAATCCATCTGGTGGTGATGCTGTCTAACACACATTTTTCTACTTTATCTAGTAGTACGGTAGGCTATGGTCTATTTTATCAAATACCTTACTGAAGTCCAAGTAAATTATATCAACAGCATTCATTATGCATTAGCTGGAATTAGCTGGAATTATATGCATTAGCTGGAATTATGCAACATAATGAACTACAAAATAACAAATTACTTTTTCCCTAGCATGTTCTGGAACTCAGTGGTTAAGATTTCATGTTGATCCCAGAAGACTCTGTAAATTGGATCATTGTGATTAAGATACATATATACTGTACAGACACAGTGTCTAATATTTCAGGAAGGCAAGATCAGGAAGCTGAATTGTTGCAAGAATACACAAAGCTTAAGTTAATTCAAAATTTCTTTCTGAAATGGAATAAGTTCATTGTCCAAAAGAACTCCTCAGATACTTAACTTTATGCCATGCTTGAAAGAAATTTTATTTCCTTGCCTTCTTGTTAGATCTCTTTTTCCTACTGTGCTTCACATCTTGGCAAATCTGCAGATGTTACAGTTTCAGTGTGATCTTATTTCCACTTTTTCTCAAGTAAGCTAGTAAGTTATAATAGTGACTATAAAAAGAAGAAAAGCCACTCAGAATATGGGTGTATTGAGAAACCTTCTCTATTTTCAAGCTAGATTTTTCTAAAACCAACATTTTAACAAATTTTTATTTTTTTAGTTCTTCATAAAGACAAATCTATAGGAATCATGATTCTAATCTAGAAAGTAAAGAATGGACAAGATCCACATTTTAAAACATTCCTTTCCTCTCTGCATAGTTGCTGGATGTGGTCTTCTACCTAGCACAGAAGTATCATCGATTACTTGTTCTCGGCCGTAGACACATGCTGAAACATTCATTTCAATGGAAAAAAAGCGACATGGATGCCATGCAGAAGAAAGCAGACTTCTTCTTTACTGATAATATGTATGTTATTTGATTTTTAGAAAGTATAATCTTTAGAAATATTTGCATTAGTTCCTAGTTGCAACATAAGTATTGAGACTGAATTTAACAACAAAAATAATATACTGTATTTCATATATGAATGCTATATATTCTTGATATATTTTATTTCATTTTGCAATTGTGTAATATTTTTCCATAAAAGATAAATGCAATCTTTTCGCTCAAGTTATTTCATCCACAACAATGCAGCCTTGTTTACCACAGTCAACAGCTTTGCATTACTAATTATCTTTGAATATAATAATGAACCAGACAATTAAAACCCACAACCTATATGTATTTTTATTTACAAATTACAAGAAAAAATTGATAAAATAACTATATATCCAACTTTCTCCCCCACTGTTAAGAATAAAATTTAAAGGAATTAATAGAAACCAAACCAACAAAAAAAATAGAAACACATAGATGAAGTTAACATCTTTAACATTTGAATATTTTTCCATAAATCTACTGATAAAAATAAACTCTTCCAAAAATATATCAACTAATCACATAAACAATTATATGGATCTATGAAATTCCTCAAATTTTTATACCTCTAACAGAAAAAATGAATATGACACAGTATCTTGTAACTGGTCTCATTTTAATATTTATTTAAATGCAATTTAATAAATTTCTTATCAAATGGAAGTTTTCAGTTTAAAACAAAAAAATGTTGACATACATTTCAATGCTGAACAAATACCTCTGTTTATTTCTTTGAACTGATAGGAAATGTAATTATCTATCTTTTGGTAAAATCTGTAAATTGCTGTTTATTAATATAATATAGCTACACATATTCTATCATCAACTTTTAGAACAAATCTTAGGTAAACCTTAGATAAACCAGGAAAGAAAATACTTCACTTGGAGAATTACTTAGTAAAAATTAAAAATGTTCCCTGGTGATGAAGTATGCAGGCTTGGTCTAAATTTTTATATTATTACTTTGATGATCTAAATATTGAATGCTATTACCTAGCTAGCTCATATGTTGTACATATAAATTGTAGGTATATCAGTATATGTATTCATATAAGTATATAAATAGTTATGAGATGGACATAATGCTAAGTTCAAACAAGTTAAATGCTTCATAGCTAGAATCTTGAAATAATCATTTGAATCAGTTCTATAGTACTTTACTGTGCAAACTGCAATGGTGTATATAATATTTCTGTTTGCCTTTTTTTAAAAAAAATAGGTCTAAAGACGATCCATTTCTGCTGTATGCCACTTTTCATTCAGGTGGTCACTGTATGATAGTAACTAGAGATCTATTACGGGATCACAAAGCTGTTCTTTCTGATAGTGTTACTCGTCGCTTGTTTTTTAAATGGCAACGTGGACATCAGATGGTGGTGTCAAGCTACGTACCAGGAAAGATATTAACATTTGAGGTATTGTTGCACCTATTAGTGTTATTTTTAATAATTATCTAGCATGAGTGATAAATCAAAGGAGGGGTGTAGTCTTTGTAAAGAAAACCCAAATGGTTTTTTCCAATAAAATGTCCTCAGCATAATTTGTAATGTTTAATATTTATACATTAGTTTACTGAAGAATTGTTTTTGGATTGCATACTGTTATGAGAAACCACTTTTATCAATGCTCTTGTTTGTAATCTTACATAAAAGATTTAAAGCAGGGGTCTCAAATTCGCAGCTCGCGGGCCAATTGCGGCCCGCAGGATGATATCCTGTGGCCCCCACCGTGATATGAAAGTATAATATTCGTGCGGCCTTCCCTCCGTTCCCTCCATTCCGGGGGAATGGACCTCTGAAGGAAGTCCCGCCCGCCATTCCTCGTCGTGGCTTCTTCTCCACCCTGAACTTTAACAAGTCCAAGTACAGGTCCAGACTTACTGATGATCATCTTCAAGCCATACTGAGGGTCTCAAGTGCCTCCTCTCTCAAGCCAAATGTGGCTCAGATATGTGAGAGGAAGCGTTGTCACGTCTCTGGCAGCAAGGAGTAAGCTGGAGAAGCCATGTTCTGAGGAACTGTTCATGATCTTCATTCAATGTTCCATTCATGTGTTCAGGACAGTTCATGTATTGGAGAAATCATTAACTATTGATGGCATTTGAGGATATTTTTTTAACAATGTTTTTTGTGGAATCCCTTATGCGGCCCAGCCTCACCCAGACTCTGCCTCCAGCGGCCCCCAGGTAAATTGAGTTTGAGACCCCTGGTTTAAAGTATAGATAGAGATGGTGGGGGCAAACCTGGTTCAGTTTAGATGTTCTCACAGTTCATTACTGGAGGATAACAAGTTTCCTATCTTTAGTTTAAAATATATAAAATCTTAATATTGTGCAAAATATATAATGCAGTCCTGTCTTTTATTATTAACAGGATGCTTTGCCTTATGATACAATTGTGCAGACTGATGGTAACACATGGCATATTCCCTATGATGACAACTTGTCCAATAGAGCTTCTTTTGAAATTCCAGTAAAGTGGCTCTGTCTTCAGAAGAAATAAACGATGCTTTTTTTGTTCAAAATGTATGCATGGCACCTTTATTTCAAATAAATTTCAAACAAACAACTTAAAATGTATTCATTTTCTAAGACAACAGACCTGGACTTAAATGAATCACTGCGTTACAAACAATACTTAATTCTACAAATATTGAAAATTGTGATGCAACTGTTCTTTATAATTGATAAATGTAATTGTGGTTTAAACCAATTACTTTTTGGATGGATTATGGATTATATATTCCTATTTCTCTGCTTTTCATCAGTAACTATTTTTCGTATGTTTCTCCTTTCCAGATGGGCATCTTGGTACCATATAGCTCATCTTATAAGAAACAATTATGTTTGCTTTAGAATTTTACTATTCATGTGCTCCAGAATTCTCAGTTTGGTGGGTTGTGATAAACTTTGCTGACATAAGTAGAAAAACAGGGAGGGAAGGAAGGGCATGAAATATTGGAAGGATGACTGAGAAACAGCCAGTTCTTTTATAGAATGTCCAGATTATACAGCTTCAAGAATAGAGATACCATGAAAACAATTAAGTACAGATAGAAATTTACTAAAATGTAACTGCCTCTGGAATTCCCAATTGAAAGAAGACTGATTCAAAATTTGTACACCAGAAACTGAAGTAGCAGTAGGTTTTCCCCTCCCTTCCCAGTTATGGATGTATTATTATCCTCTTCAATTCTGGAACTTTTGTATTATCCTTCAAATTATTTCCACCTAGTCAGCCTACATTAGCAAGTATTAAGCATAATCTACATAGTAAATGAATGAGGTACATAAAATGAATGTACATTTAGAATAAAAGAACTTTCAGTTAATACTGATTTCAACAGTTACAGTTCTAAATAAAATTGTAGCTTGTTTTATTTTTAAGCAATTATATTTTTCCACAAATAACAGCAAAAATGTGTTCAATTTTTTTTTTAGACTATGATATAATAGTAAAAAAAATGTAAAATTGAGAAAAAATGGTGGCTGATTTTTGTTTATTTTAAATTTGTTTATCACCCAAATCATACAAATTTTGACAAGTGACAACTTTGGAAACAATTGATACGGGTAGATCTCAAACTTACAACGGTTCATTTGGGATTCAAAAATCCCAGCAATCGGTTTGCTGCCCAGTTGCTGGGGGGGCGTGGCTATGGTGGGTATGGCCTACCGGAGCTTCCTGTTTCCAGCTTCCGGGGGGGGCCTCCAGAGCCTGGGGAAGGCCATTTTCACCCTGACAAGGATCCAGAGGCCTCCCCTGGGCCTCTGGGAGGGTGAAAACGGTCTCCTCCAGGCTCTGGAGGCCCTCTGGAAGCCAGAAACAGGCCCATTTTGCGACTCCCAGTACTTCCGGGAGAGCTGTTTTTCACCCTTCCAAGGGTCTGGAGGCCTCTTCCAAGCCTCTGGGAGGGTGAAAACCGCCTCCCCCGGGCTCTGGAGGCCCTCTGGAAGCTGGAAAAGGGCCCATTTCTGGAAGGCCTGTTTTCCCCCCCTCCCAGAGCCTCCATGTGGACCCTGCACTTATCTGCATTGCGTGGAGATTCCTGGGAGGGGAGGCGCAGGATGGGCAGGGTAGCCGGTCAGTTGAAATATCGGTTTGGTGAACCAGATGTAAGTTTAACATCTGGTTCGCTTGAACTAGTCCAAACCAGTAGAATCCCACCCCTGCTTACAACCATTTTTCATACTTATGACCGCATACCGCAATCCCATTGTTACATGATCAAAATTCAAACGCGTGGCAACTGACTCACATTTATGACCTCTGCAGTGTCATGGGATCACCTTTTGCAACCTTCTGACCAGCAAAGACAATGGGGAAATCATCTTCACTTAATTGCAATACTAATTTAACAACTACAGTGTTTCACTTAACTCTGGCAAGAAAAGTCATAAAATGGGGGAAAATTCACTTAACAAATGTCTCACTTAGCAACAAAAAGTTTGGGCTCAATTGTCATAACCCGAGGACTACCTGTACAGACAAATGGATCAACTCATTTGCTGCAATTTGTGGAAGATTACACCTTTTACTCAATATGTTCGTTGGAAAAGGTGGTACCAGATGCCCGGATTTCTTTCGCTTTCACAGATCAACACAGTTCTCCTTCATTGGCAGCAGTTTGTGATTGTCTTCTGATTTCTTTTACTTAGTCTATACAGGTAAGTTCTGGCAATTCCTCCTGTGCTAGGGGTCCCCAAACTTGGCAACTTTGAAACTTGTGGACTTCAACTCCCAGAATTCAGCATAGCTGGTCCACAAGTCTTAAAGTTGCCAAGTTTGGAGATCTCTGATACAGGCCATTGCATTCTAGACCTGTTGAGTTTTCAGGTGGTTTTCAAGGACTCCTTGTTTAGAGTACACTCGATCATAGCTACAAAACCTTAAGTTCTATTGAGCATAGCTGGCTCCACAAGTTTTAAAGTTGCCAAGTTTGGAGACTTCTGTCCTACGCCATCCAGTTACATCGTGCCCGGCTTCATTTTGAAATTCATTTTGAGAATAGCTTGTAGAAGCCTTGAAAGAAAGATGGTGGGCAACAACCCCAGTAACGAAGCACAGTCTCTTGGTGCTGGGTTTCCAAAAGCGTCATCCCGAAAACACCAATTCACCAATACAAAACGGAGCTATCGAAATTTCTCGCGAGAACCACCACCCTTTCCAACCCCGCCCGCGCCCCGCCCCGCCTGTCAAAAAGGGCTTTTACGCTCTTGCACCGAACTCTTAAAAAGCGCATGTGCGGCAGCCAAGCGGCATTTGATTTCACGTTTGGGGACGGCGTGATTATTGTTACTTCCGCGTCTGCGCCTTGAGTAACCGTGACTAAGGAACAAACAAACGAATTTAGGAAACCAAAGTAGTAGTGCCTCCGCTTCTGGGGGGGGGGGGGGAGGCTCCTCTTTGCGCCTGCGCATGGCCATGTAGCCCCGGAAGTACTCCGATTCACTCGCTCTCACCCTACACCTCCCCCCCGCCCAGCCGCTGGAAGTAGGAACCTTTTCGCATGCTGTGTCTGCGGGCGGTTTCCCCCACTGTTGCCGCTTGGTTTGCTTTTTCTGCGCGACCATGTCTCGAGGCTCCAGCGCCGGCTTTGACCGGCATATTACAATCTTTTCCCCCGAAGGGCGCCTATATCAAGTAGGTAAGTGAGTGGCAAAAACCGCCTCGTCACGATGTGCAGGGACGCCGCTTTTCTTTCCCCTGCATGTTAATGACGCCTCCGGCTTCTTTCTTTGCCAGAAGTGGGGCGCCGGTAGAGAAACGGGCGCATTGAGCGTCCCAAGGAGGCGTCTGTTGAAATCGCGGTCGCTTGCACGCCGTTCACCTGCTTACACATGTGTATCTAAGGCGCTCTTGGGATTTTCTTCGACGTAAATGATTAGGCGGGCTTGAAAAGATGAGCCGTGGTCGGCAGCGAAAAGCTTTGTCATTGCGCGAAAGTGAAAGCGAAACAAAACGACCCGGGAAAGCGAGGACGCGCCCCCGACGGCTAGTTGATGGGGAAGGGGGGAAAAAAAATCTGATCCTTGAAAGGTATTACTTTCCCCGCCTTGCGAAAGTTTACCGCTTTGTGGCTTTTTCTTCTCAATGCTGACTTTGTGGCATAACTCGGTATTGTCGGGATCAAAGCTCAAAGAGCTGCCTTTTCAGGTGCCTTTTCCTCCAGTTTGCATAATTCCCAGCCCTCTGCAACTTTTGCTGCACGTTCTGGGAAGTGGGGGGCATTCAAAGGCCACCCAGTTGAAGGCTGATTAGCCTGCTAATCCTCGGGCATTTAATTGACGTGAGTCGTTTTGTGACCTTGAACTATGGGGAGAAGGCAGTGTGTAGAGAGGGCAAAAATTCAGAATATATTGGCATGAGGAGGTGTATGCTTTTGTGACGTGTTATGTCGCTTATGATTTATTGATTCCACGTGTTAGATTTTACCAAATTAGTATGTGGGCCTGGTTACATTTCTACCGTATTTTGCATGCTGTAGTTCTTACATTATGCTCGAGTCTTACTTCTGTATGAGACTCAGTTTGGTACCTGATAGTTCAGACAAAATGTAAATACAGAATATAAAGATTCTAAATAGCAACAGCTCTTAGACTTATATACCACTTCACAGTGCTTTACAGCCCTCTCTAAACGGCTTTCAGAATCAACATATTGCCCCCAACAATCTGGGTCCTCATTTTACCGACCTTGGAAGGTTGAATCAACCTCAAGCCAGTTGTGATCGAACTCCTGGCAATGAGCTGAATTAGCCTGCAATATTGCATTCTAACCACTGCGCCACCACAGCTCACTTATAGCTATTTGGATATTTCAAATACAAAAATTACAGTAGCATCACTTTTAAGTAGTACAACACTTAGTCTAAGCCAGGAGTCCCAACTCACAGGCCACGCAAGCAAGCAGGAACCAGGCTGCACAAGTGAGTGAAACCCCATCCATGCATAGGTGAGATCCAGGCAGGTTTAAAATCACGCCCTTCCCAGTCTGTGAAAAAAATGCCCTCCATAGAACCAATCCCTGGTGCCCAAAAGGTTGAGGGATGCTAGTCTAAAACATGGTTGTGGATGTGAACTATCTGCTTTTAATGAAGGTTTGTATCTGATGCTGTCATTGTTACAAGTACTGTTAGTAAAATCTGTGTTCAATATATCATTAGAATATGCATTCAAGGCCATAAACCAGGGTGGACTTACATCAGTAGCTGTTCGTGGAAAGGACTGTGCAGTTGTTGTCACACAGAAAAAAGTACCTGTAAGTATTTATTAGCAAAACCTATAACATGACTGTATGGATAAACCTTGACCGCATGTATGGCTGACTTGTATTTTTGTTGTTTCTTGGTTTTTAATTCTTCTGTGCTTTGATCTTACTAATGAAGAGCATTGGAATTTTGCAGAGTGATGGAAGATCCAGGCTTTGACGTTAGGGAAGAATATTTTACTTGGGAGAGTCGTAGATTTTCCATAATGCTTAGTTCAAAAAATAACATTGAAAATTGTTGTGATAAAATGAAATTATGATTATAGTCACTGCAGTCAATAATATTCTTAAGAATTT